GTGCGTTACTAGTGTGTTAAATGTTCTTGCGAAATTTCCCAGACGATGTTTTGGGAAGGCATTCAGTTTAGTAGATCCAATATCCCTACTTAACAAGGGCGGATAACACATTGTAGTGCGTGACCGTATACTTGCATCTTCCTCTTCCTCAGGATATTCCGCATAACACTGATAGTCCAACAATAGTGAATATCACCGCGACCTAGTGGTGTACTTGTAATTATGCTGTCGACAACGTGTTATTCATTGGTGAGTGAAAGATCAAATATCGACGGTCTGCTAGTATTTCCAGTTCTGGTGGTGTAGGTCACGTGGTTAGAGATGTTAGCAGGGAATTACCTCTTGTTAACAGACGTTAAACCGTATGCCATCGAGCACCGCTATTTTCAGGTAGTGCATACTAAATTCGCGTGCGCTGAGAATGCGACCGTATGACCTGCTAAAAGCAACCAGAGTAACGTGGTTCAGGATGGAGTCCAGTTCACACCTTGACTTTATATGAACACAAATCACAGCTATAATACATATGTCTGTTCTGCAACCATAGGGGCAATAAAGCGAATCTGGGGCGCGGATTTCTTGGTGGTCAATAATTTTCCATCAGAGGCTTTATTGTTGAACAGGATTTTGCCACCACTTACAGCCCTATATCTACGAAGCATCGTCATACCAGGTAAATGTACCTCGAAAGTTGCTATCTCAAGGCGTAATCAAACTTCCGCAATCATAATGAGATCCCGCCGTTGTGACGCCTCTAGTTATTTATTTCGGACAAATTACTAAGATGAATTTGAACGTTAGTACGCAAACAAGCTACTGATTTATGTTTTGAAATCTGAGTGGACAACAATTTCGTGTTTAATATTAAGCCAACCTTACATCGGTCGATCGCTAATCATCTATTGCGGGAATTATTAATTATTGAATTGCTAACAGGCTGTATAGAATACGGAGCTTTCCCCATCGAGATCTTTTTTCGTGTTTCTCCCTATCCCCTCAAGTGTCATGAGTGCTATTGCGTCTATCACTCTGCAGGATTGTGAAGACAAATATTTTACTGAAATTGCATGATCCAATGAAATGCTGAATACTATTAGCCTGCGTCTGTAATATTTAAGCTAATCTCGGCGGGTAACCTGAAGCGATGCCTAAGTAAGGGTACCGTGTATTTGTCAATATTTGATTAAATCTTTACGTTCCATAGATTGTTGAATTGGCTTTTCTTTGTATGTCTGCACAGGATGTGAACGATTTTCAGGAGGTCTACAATTCCAAAGTTGAAGTCAAAGCAGCTGATGATAATGGTGACTTCGGCAGTTGCAATACCTATGCTCTTGATGTCTCTCCTACTGAAAGTATGTTTCTATTTCTTTCCAACTAAGCGACTGATGCTTTAGCGTATCAGATGCAATTATGTGATATCTGGTACATTGACTTGTGTACTTAAACCTGTAAACGCTGACTTAGCCATTGGGTCTTTCACGAAGCAACATCGACATTTTCCACTCGGGTTATACATGCATGGCCCATCTTGCAACGAATCACCAAAACCTCATATCTGTGCGTGTCTACCTTACTATGGAACCGCCACATCCACATCTTTAGATAAATATTGCTGGATCATTTCTCATCACAAACTTGGCACGTGTTTGAAGAATACCAGTCAGTTACTCGGCCGCTTAGGTCCTTTATTTTTCTATGACTCTAGAACATCCGATCCGTGTACAATAAGTGGGATGCCGATATGTATCATCTCCAATTAGACTGCGTCCATGGTTGATCAAACGCAATGTTCTATTATTGCCACTGCGGCAAGCATTATGCCTCAACGCTCAAATATATTGAGCTGACAAAGTTAAAGGACCAATGCTTCACAAGCTGTGCGATCGTGGTTTAACCATTATACATTGATTAAACTTAACCACCTCCCCTGACTTATTCCTCAGTTAGGTGGCGCTCACAGCATTTGCTACCAAGGTATTCCACTTATAGCAATTATAAGAATCACATGGGAATGTTTTATTCAGCAACCCAATAAATATAATATAATAATATGGAAATGTGTTGAGTAAAATATTCTTTTGGCGACTCTTAACAGAATCAGACATTTACAATTTGCGAGTTACATTGTAATGGTGAAGATTTGGGCCAAATATTCATTTGGATTTAAAATGTATCGGTTAAATTGATGAATCACGTGGTCACTAAATGTGGTAGATACACTGCAATGTAAAAGTAAATAGGTATATTATGTTCAAAACCGATCAAGTGATCAGGTATTGAAAGATGTGTTTTAGAGTAAAAAGAAACTGGGGTACAAAGTACTCCTGTAAGCAAGACTCCAGCTTATGGTAATAAAAATATCTTTCCACTGCAATGTACATGCTATGTTTACGGAATCCCTGTGAGAAACTATCCGGTATTGTGTGAATAACTCGGAAATCCTCTCCAGAGCCTGCGTGACCATACACATGGAGGTTTCATCTGATGGATGTGTTAAAATGCCCCGTGTTAAGAAGAAACTTTGTCTCTATAAATCCACTTCAGTATGTGGTCGTGAATCCTATGAGGTAGGGCGGCTCGTATTGCGACCCAAATATCGTGCACCACAATAGCAGGTGTATTGATACACCAGCCTACCTGTGCAGCAGGATAAATAGGTCACAATACGAGACCCCTACCTAATAGGATAAACGAGCTGCAAAATATATCTTCCCAACAGATTATTTTAAAGCGTTTGGTCAGGACATAAGCTGCAATGTCGAACTTGGAAGTAAATGCACAAAAGCTTCCTTTTGGGCTATGATTAAGCAGTGCGCGTTTCTTTAAATTTCCATACTAAATTATTGCACGGATTCCAGGAACATCTCATGTCCATTGCCGAGGAGAGCTATATATATGCCAGCTGAAGCTGGAGCTGTGCGTACAGCTAAATATTTCACGCCAGTTACATTTATCATGGAACTCGCCACTTGGTACCTGAACTTTCGATATGGTGTTCAACCTAGTTAAGAATAGATGAGGCGTAAAACTAATGTACCTAATTACCTGTACATTGCAATTTTATTACCACATTTAGTGACTCCGCGATTCATTTAATTGGACAATAGATTTAACATCATAATCAATATTTGGCCCAACTCGGCACATTTTCCATGTAACCCGCAACTGTAAATTTCTGAGTCGGTTGCGTTTTACAGAGTAGAGTATTTAACTCAACGCTGATACATCGTATCCCACTTAGGAGATGTGATCCACCCTTGATGACGTGGGTATCGGAATGTGCTCATGGTACACATAGTTACAATTTTCTATTGATAGACATAACAACAGAGTCGGCGCATGTGCTAATCAAACGGTATTGGATGTAAGACCCCTGCTGTATTGTATGCTATCTAGTAGATGTGAATTATCACTGCTCATCAAAGTGATCTTTTCGCTTACACCAAGAGGTTGAATTGGCTGCATTCATTAGACATCTCGTTGAAATGTCCGCTGTTGTACTGCTAACCGACCGATTGTTTCATTCAATATTCGGATACAAAGTCAATCATTTTCTTTGCAGTGGATTACTGCTCCTGGCTTTGTATGAAAATTGGTAAATGTAGCTTTATGTCATAATGCTGCACAGAAGATTGGATTTAGCTTTCTGATTTAACATTTGACAGTCTTTAATTCATCAATGTAGTGCAAACGCATATTACGACCACTGTGTTTCTTACGGGCAATTTGAGTGTTTCTCGTGTTATTAGATGTGGCATCAACTCATCCATACACCCATGTGTACCAGGCACCGCACAAGATCACTTAATCTAATTTCGTCATTCTGCGCACCAAGGTTACTATGGTGATGTGGAATCAAATGAGGACTCCACAACGAATATTCGCAGGTACCGGGAATCGAATGTAACTGGTGCCTACCCGGACAATTCGAGTCCATCTTTGCCAGACAGTATAGTACAACTCAGACCACTCCAAGCAAGCTCCCCCAGAGCATTTTCAAATGAGGTGAGTAGCCTTCTTTCTAAGTACATGGGACCAATATTTCAAAGTACTATCACATTCATTTTGACTAAAATTTGACAACACTTGCTTGGACAATTTTCGTACCTAGTCCATATATCTTGAACTGTGTCACGCTAGAATGTCTCTTTTATATTTGTTTGCCCTTTCCATGCATCCATCTAAGTCCGATGTATCAGTGACATGCTTGATGCCATCATCAGTCCGTCCGTATCTTTGAGGTGATTTGCTAGAGATTTCCTCTTAACTATAGGCATAAGAAAGAAGCAGTAGACTTTACGGATTATCAGACCAACTTGCTTGGTAAAACACAAGGCCGCACATGGGATGTCCAAAAGCTGCGACTATTTGCCGTCAAGCGAGCACACCCATGCAAAGCGGAGCAGGTCAATTAACACCCACCATCTAATGCCTATAGAGCTCACAGTTAAATTGTCTGACCAATTCCAAAATAAGTAGGCGCTGAACTTAATCAATACCGCCTGCATACAGTCTCAACTTGATCCCGGCAGTTCCCAACTATCATAATCATACACCATCAGCTCTCGCCGCCATACATAACATAGTTATAGCAGACTTTTGATTTGACAACTGCCAGGAAGATACATTCTTCAGATAGACCGCCAGTGAACATCAGTGAACATCAACAACAATCTGCCGCCGACGACAATCACCGCACATCAACCTTCATTTGTTTTATAAGTTCGTCCTGTAATCGACATTCCATGACGTTTTTTTGCTTAAAACGGATCCATACATAAGTTATAATTTCATAGATCCCTAACTGCCATTTCTACGTGATTACTCCATGATCCCGTACGAACTTTTTATGTTACTTCTGAGGCTCCTACGTGTGGTTGTATTCATCCAACTAAACTTCCGTCACTCGGTTTTGTAAAAGGCCGATATGGTTTCCAAGATACCCCCCATACTGAACAGGTGCATAGTCACACAAAGGGTGTCGCTGTTTTGCTAGACTAATATCCGGTGAGGACTTTTAACTATAACGCAAAGAAAGTTAGCAAGAATTAAGATTGTCGGACGTAAAAAGGTCTGCAATCAAGGAAACCAATCCAAGAGTACCAACATATCTGCGCCCAATGTCCTTCTGTCATTGTAGAAAGACTCTGAGGGCTCACTAGATTTCGGTCCAGTCTCCATACTTAACACAAGGTAGTGCAATGGAATTGTGTTAACGCCAACGTTGAACAGACCTTGGACAATGTAACATACGTGTGGAGCGCAATTTCATGTTAGTAAGGCGTCTGATTGTTTACCGCGTATCCTGGCGCAAACTGTGTTATTTGTGCACAGTGTATTGTATTTAAGCACACCTACTCGCTAACATCTCGAAGAAGCTAAAATAATCGACTGAGTCTAACGCACACTTGTATGGTCAGAAACACAGCTGTCGTCGATCTACTGTATTAGCGTTGCTGTTCTAACTATTTAGCTAAGTGCACGAATGGTCTAAACAGCTCAACTATATGTGGCATGTAGCCTAGAGCTAACGTGCTTGTCTCGTAATCTTACGACGCGGGTTCGAATCCGCGTAGGTGTAGGCGTCCTCGCTGTATACTCAGCTAACGTGCGACTGGTGGTGGCCGCGCGAAAGTGTAGCGCTGTTACGGCGTAGAATTATCATGCTATTTTTTGCTTTTATTTACTTGAGATTCTCTAATCCGGAAGTATGTTCGTGGCTTGGGGCGACGGATGAGAATACAAGTCACTGGGTAAGTGGAGGTTTCATCACCATCATGATCAGTATAAACGTTAGCTGCAGGTGGAAAATACCTCAGATATTGTGCAGCAATACAACGCACGAGAAGTTAAAAATACCGTGGCACGCCAGCTGAGTCCCCAGTAGCGGATGGACATCGTTCCGCTTAGCAAACAGCCGGCTATGGTGCCGCAATAAGTTATGTTATGCTTGACGAATGCGATCGTGATTGGGAGGCGAGAATAAGCGGGAGAGGGATGGACAAAGCAAATCACAACACATACTCCACTGGGGCCGGCTCCCATTCATATCAGTGTGTCCACACAAACGAGTTCATTGTATTTAGGACCCCAGCCCGGCAGTCGGGATGCACCAACCGATGCCAAAATTCCAATTCTCTCTTGAACAAGTCTTCGCTTGGCTTTCCCTCCTCCTCTTTCAACTACACCCACAACGCGCAAACAATACACGTCGCGGAAGTCGGTGTGTTGGCATGCGCAACACTTGGCTCAGCTATCGGCGCAAAGTACGTAATATAATGGGGCTGAGCGGTTCACTCTCTCCTTCTTCCCAAAATACGCAACGCTGAACAGGCTCATTGCGCACGCCGTGCTCCAACCAGACATGAGCAAAACTGGAAAGGCAGAAATGATCGGATGCAACGAGCCTCTTTATGTCTGTCTTCCTGATAAGCCAGTTTTCACAACCATATAGGATAATTGAACGGACGGCTGCGTTATAAACTCTGCCCTTCAGCACGAGAGAAATGTCGCGTCTGCGCTACAGGTGGCGGAAATTAGCAAAAGCACCTCGAGCGTTTGCTATACGGTTCCTAACCTCATCTTTGATCCCACGGGCGCTAATATAGCTGCCCAGGTACTTGAATTATTGAAGGACTTTTAGCTTATCACCACAAAGCGTTAGCACTGCAGTGGGTCTCTACCAATCTTTGATAAATATTTTGGATTTCGTTGGAGTAAAGCGTTGTCCAATAGGAATGACAGCCAACGCTAATCGGTCCAGTGTTGCTTGGCGAGTTTGGGAGCTGCCACAGATGAAGCCAATATCGTCCGCGTACTCCAAGTCAAGAAATCGTTCGCCAAGTAGTTGCTCCACACCTTCTAGGTAATGACCAGCGAACGCTGATTCCATGACTTCATCAATAGCGAAGTTAAAGAGGAAAGGTGACAGCGGACAACCTTGTCTGACACCGTTGATGATACTGAAGTTTGGCGACAGTTTGCCATAAACCCTCAATCTGACCGAACTCTGCGCTCAGAGCACTTTGATATTTACATATTTATCAGACATACCTTTCATCAGCAGACATTTTGAAAGGGCACATCGATCAACTGAGTCGAATGCACCTCTTATGTCAAGAAAACGGACAACGGTGCGTCGCCAATAAACATGGTGGTGCTCCAACAATTGACGCAAGATGAAGATGTAATCTATGCAGCTCCAACCTAGATGAAACCCAGCTTGCTCTTCACGAATCCGGCTTTTGTGTTTGCCAGTCATTCTGTGGATAATGACAGACGCAAGCAATTCAGTGGCAATTGAAATTAGACTGATCCCACTATGATTGCCGCATTCCGAAAGGGTGTCTCCCTTGAACATTGGGACCATAACGGAGGGGCGCCAGTCTGTCTGGACAGTCTCCTGCTCCTAATGTTTCATTATAAACTCGTGTAGATCATCATACGACAATTTTCCGACCTTGGCGTTTAGATCGCCAGCCAACAGCACAATATCCGTGCTTCTTCTGTAACGAAGGAGATAGTGACTTTGGTGATAGAAGTCATCTTTCACCGAATCAGTGCTACAGTTTGTAAGGGCGTAGGGCGCAATGACAACCAGACACCGTTTGTCCCCGCGCGAGTTCATAGCATGGAACGAACCAGATAATCTAACGGCGCACCTTAGACTTTTGACCAGGATCCAATCGATTAGGGCAGATTCAGCCCGGGGATTCAAAACAATGCCGACGCCAGGTTGACCGACATTCGAAGCTGCACCATCGCGAGATAGGCGCAATGAGAATGTGCCGCCAGTGTGGCATGTGGGGGATCGTATAGTTAACACGGAGCTCCAGTCTTTCAGGCGGGTTTCTGATAAACTGCAAATATCGATGGCTATAGTCCCCAGTCTGTGGACAAGTGCTGGCTGTTGGCCAATCTATAGTAAAGTGCGCACATTGAGGCATGCAAATCTAAGCGAGACGCGAGGACTCCAAAGGGAAACGGATGAACTGAGGTTGTCCGCTTGGTTGAGCATGGACTTATCGACTGGATTGGAGCGACGCCCTGCGAGTGTGTGTGAGTTGAAGCTAGAAGACAAACGACGATTGGAGCAACATGAGGGAGGACACAGAATTAAGGGTTTGAAAATGGGGGGATAAAAGTAGAGTTGGATCGGGACGATAAGAATGAAGAAGCGTAAGCAGTGGATACGAAGACGGGAAGGCCTGAGCAGTAGCATCCATACCTCTATCCACCCTGCTCAATGCAGCGGATAGGGCGCCGATGATTATCTCCTGCGACGGCCAGAGGATTAAGAAATTGTTAGAGGAACGATTCGTTGTATTGCTTGGGCAGAATGCTCTCAGGTTGACCAGGCCTACATAGGAGAACGATTAAGGTTCTCAACTGAATCCTTTGGTACAAAAACATGGTCGCAACGCAGCGGGCTTTTAGCTTTGAACTACAGAGTTCACGTTTAATGGAATACGGAGCCCCACCACCACCTCATTCGAAACCTCAATCTGGTGGACCTAGAGGCTGTGTTTGCCTGTCCCCTAACCATTGACTAATCGGTTATGAGTGGCTCTGAAAGTGCACAAACACCACCCAGCATAGTACCATGGATCTCTGAGGCACCCAATCCATCGCACCACGGTAAGGTCCAGCCTCATTGCGATGGTGGTGGTGGTGTTGGTGGATGTTTCGATGTTGCTCTTCTCAGGACGTATGTACTATGTTACCCTTAGCATAATAACTTGTTTCGTAACGTGACGTTCAAGCGCAAGCAGGAAAGCGTTTGGTTAATCGCCTGCCAAAATGTTTGAAGTATCGATATCGCATCAGGTCGTGATCAATTTCGGAACCGTATTCCCAAAATGAACAAAAGTCAAGGAGGAAAACTCTTCACTTGAATTAGTGGTGATATTTCATGCTTGTCACATTGCGTTCTACATAGAATGCACATTCATCCTACTGATAAAAGCATGCCCCTCTTTTATCAGAAGTACGACCAGATACCAGCC